GTGTGTGAGAGAGAGAGAGAGTGAGTGAGTGAGTGAGTGAGAGAGAGCGTGTGCGTGTGTGAGAGAGAGTGTGTGTGTGTGTGAGAGAGAGAGAGAGTGAGTGAGTGAGTGAGTGAGAGAGAGTGTGTGTGCGTGTGTGAGAGAGAGAGAGAGTGAGTGAGTGAGTGAGTGAGTGAGTGAGAGAGAGTGTGTGTGCGTGTGTGTGTTAAACACTCACACCACTGCATCAATGTCACAGCGGCCAGATTTGTTCTGGATCTTGACTTTTGAGACGGATTGCAGCATGCGTTTAGGGATCTTTTTTGAAACAGTCAAGCAGCAACTGGGAATGGCATCCACTGAAACAAAAGCAACATCTGCCTCTGAATAACAGTTAAATCCTGTCCTAACAAAACCCACATACTTCCTGTAGGATGTTTTCAGAGAAGAAGACTGACAGACACAGACAAGCCTTTAATTATAGAGGGCATGTTTGATGTTCTGATCAAGCAGAGCGATGCATGTCACGACACATGTCACTGCTGTCCACACTGACTCGCTATCTATTCAAGCTGCTTTATAGGTACGTGTGTCTCTGGGAATCAAACACGACTCTGCTGACACTGTTCTGACTTATGCAACGCTATAGCATGGAGTGCATGAGCTGTACTCGTGTGCTAATTTGGTATTTCTGGTCAAAAATGACGGGCTTTTTAAAAATCTCTCTTTGAAACTGATTAATCTGAACTTATGCACTTCAGTGAAAAAGTATTATTTGTTGATCATTTTGGCTCAAAACTGAGGTGCATGAGCTCAGATCAATGAAGCGTACAATCAATTAAAAATCCTCTCCGAGTTAAAATGACTGGAACACATTAAAGCTTGTTTCTGCCATGGAAAAACAATATATATATATATATAAAATAAATAAATCTAAAAATAAAAAAAGGTATTTGTGACTTTTTATCTCATAATTAAAAAGTTGCAATTACCTTTATTTTTTTTCTTTCCGAATTATAATATATATATATTTTTAAAGTTCTGATATATAAAATATGAAATGCAGAATTGCAAGATATAACCTCAGAATTATGAGGAAAAAATGTATTGTAAAATTTAAAAAGAAAATTATGTACAAAAGTTTACATCTTGCATTAGTTTTTTTTTGTTTTGTTTTGTTTGTTAATGCCATGAAAAAAAAAAAAAGATTTTTATCTCAAAATTCTGAGCTTTCTTGCTTGCAGTTCTGAGTTCATATCTTACAATTCTCAGAGAAAAAGTCAGAATTGAGATATATAAACACATAATTGCAAAAAACTGAAATGTGAGCTAAAAACTCTCAAGGGTTAATAAACAAGGTGCACATTGCATTAATGTAATCAACACTGAACTGAGCTGAAACCACAACACTTGTGTATTTAGAGCTACTGAAGAACAGAATCTGTGTCGCATGAAGCGTTATAGAAATACATCGCTTTAGGTAATAGGAACAAATGCATAAGCCTAACCTATTACATTTACAATTTGCATCAACAACATAAACATGATCATGATGAAGAGCATCAGATGAATCTGCTTCTGACCTTCAGCGCTGGTGAGGATGATGATGGTGACGCACACGAGCAGCAGGACAGATGTTGCTTTGAGCTCCATGGCTGAACAGCACTGAGCGTGAATGAACACAAAAAGACTTATTTAAACCCATGCATGCCAGTCCTGTTACGCCCTCATCGCCCGGCCTGCCCCAACTCATCCATCACACCAAAGAAAACAGTTTTACACATCGGTTATGAAATCTCTTTTGTAACAGATGAAATATTCCCCGCAGCACCTCATTCAGGTAAATGTGAGTATGAATGCACCGAGCCATTTGCTGCAGGTTATGCGTGACACGAGCCGTACCAACACATTCATGATGTCTTGAGCAGTGTTTCTCAGGGGTGTGTTGATTTGTGTTGTTCGTTACGGTCAGTTGCGTGTCACTGGGTGTGTTCAGTAATTGCGCTGGATGTTCAAGCTTGTCTGTTTTAGTTTCTTTTTTGATATTGTTACAGGAGCAGACTTTCATCTTTGACCTTACAAGAAATCCCACTTTTTTTCAGTGCAGAAAATGGCTTTGAGTCGTCTAAAGGCATCATTTAATTAATTAAATAATAGGGATTACATTAAAGGGGTCATTTAAGTAAATTAAAGATTATTGGAAAAAATTATAATTATTAACAATTATTTGTGAAATTTACTGTAGCAATTCTTGAGTGAAGATTGGTTCTACACAATTTTTTCATTGTATAATTATTTTTTATTTTTATATATATTATGTACATAGGTATGTGTCTTATATATATATTTTTTTATATATAAGACAAAGGTCAGAATTTTGAGATAAAAATCTTTTTTTTTCTTCATGGCATTAACAAACAAAACAAAAACGAATGCAAGATGTAAACGTTTGTACACAATTTTTGTGAAAGAAAAACAATTAAGGTATTTTATTTAATTATATATATATATAAATCTTATTTTAAAATATTAAAAAATTATATATAGTAGATAAGAACTACGATATCAGAAAGATAGAATATTATATATTTTTTCAATTATATATACATTATAATTAAATATAATATAATAAAAAATAATATATGAAAGATATAAATTGGTCTGTTTTTTATTTTTCATTGTTATTGTTGTTTGCAATGGACCAAAAGAATATCTTGTCATGATGTAACAGACTTTAATTCTTTCATGTGCTTCTGTCATTTTTTCTTTTCTTTTGTGTCCAGCTCTTTCTTCTGCTTTTCTGACACGTGTGGTAAATCATCTGAGTGCCTTGGGTTTCCCGATTTGACAGTGATTAAAGCGAAAAGCTAATGGACTAGATTCATCTTTAATAAAAGAGTTTCAAACCTGATCTGCAGGATCTGTCAGACCATGAACACACTTTTTGGAGCTAACAGAAAGGCCACGGGCTGCTTAGGCTGCAGATTATATGTTAGATGGGTAATTATTACCCTTATGAATCTCTGAATTATCATCACATAAAGGCAGGAACAGGTCACGCAGCTTCTGGGACAATAAACTCAAAGCGCTTGAAGTAACAAACGAGCCAAACACATTCACTTTCACGTCCGTTTACTACATACAGTATTTACACAGCGCTGGGCTGAGCAACACGTGTGTGTGTGTGTGTGTGTAAATGAATGATCGCATCAGAAGGGTCTTTGTCTCCGAGTGGCCAGATTGAGCAAACGCAGCAGCATTTCTCCAGAGACGCCCTTCAGACCCACGCCGTCTTCAGTCTGATGAGATCCCACGACTTCAGAACAATCCGGATCCAGAACACAGCTCTCTGAGAGACACAACACATGCATTAGGCACACATATCTGTCAGAGAGTCAAGAGCTTCAAATTAAGTTCACTAAAGTATCAAAGGAGATGATCTGCTCACCTGAGTTGCAGCAGACGCCTGGAGAGGCACATCGGCCCCCCGGGGCCCCGCAGGACGTCCCATCCGTCTCACAGGGGCCCGGCAGCAGATTCTCCTCCATGCAGCTCAGCGTGTCTGGAGATCCAAGCAGACAACCCAGACCGGCCCCGCAGCAGATACTGGGGCCAAAACAATGGCCCTGATTCCCCGGACCACATGCCGGACACTACACACACACACACACACACAGACACACACAGACATGCGCACACACACACACACACACACACACACACACACACACACAAACACACACACACACACACACACACACACACACAAACACACACACACACTCACAAACACACACACACACACGCACACAAACAAACACACTCACGAACACACATACTCACACAAACACTCATTCATGAACACACACACACACACACTCACGAAACACACACACTCACACACACACACTCACAAACACACACACACACACACATGCACACAAACAAACACATGCACACAAACACACACACTCACAAACACACACACACACATGCACACAAACAAACACATGCACACAATTACACACACTCACAAACACACACACACATGCACACAAACAAACACACACACTGCATCAGTACAGTCTGTTCATTATCATATAGAGATGATTCAACGGATGATTCGTGATACATAAAATGGGACACAGTTGATATAAAGAGTGCAACTGTAACAATTTTTCATGAACATTTATAATACATATAATAATACATATATATATATTTAAAATTAAAATCAATGTAATTTCATTCTAAGATTTCAACATCTAAATTGACAATAAAATAAATGCCATGTTGAGTAGATATTTTATTAATATTACTAATTAGTTATTTTATTTTTAGTAATTTATTATTTTAATTTTATTAATGTTAGTTTGCTCAAATTGTCACTAAATTAAACAAAAAAAAAAAACGACAAAATTAGAATTTTGTTAACTTATTCGAAATCAGTGTTATTTTTAGAATCATTTAGATATTTATTGTTTTTATTAATATTTTGAATTAGCTATTATTTTCATATTTTCCATTTTCTTTTAAATTTTGGTTAAAGTTTTAGTAATTCTGTTGTGTTGTGTTTTTTTAAGTCTAGTTTTTATGCATTTTTATTTCAGTTTAAGCTTTAGTTATTTTAGTACATGAAGTTAAACTACAGTAAATGAAAATTAAGTATAAGTTGTTTTCACTGAACGTTTATTTAATTTCAAGTTAATTTTATTTACATTTAGAATTCGTTTTTATTTTGTGTTTTTTTTAAATAAAAATTTAACGTTTTTAAAATGTCAAATAGTTTTTAATTTTGATTTCAGTTTTAGTTATTTTAATGCATCAAGTGAATCTAAATATATGTGAGGAATGTTCCCGGTGCAACTAGCTGAAATAAGTTTAAGATGAATGTTTCAGCTCATTTAAATTAAATATTTCACTGCACACAGTATGAATGTTTAGCAGATGAACTTTAAAACAAAGAAATTCTGAATTCTCTGAGACAAGCTGCAGTGAATGTCCACAGTATTGATGCTGATGATGAAGATGATGAAGATGATACATATGATGCTAATGCTGATGATGATGCTGATGCTGATGATGAAGATGCTGCTGATGATGATGATGAAGATGCTGATGCTGATGTTGCTGATGATGAAGATGTTGATGATGCTGATTATGCTGATGAAGCTGCTGCTGCTGATTATGCTGACGAAGATGCTGATGCTGATGAAGATGCTGCTGATGCTGATTCTGATGACGAAGATGCTGCTGATGATGATGATGAAGATGCTGATGCTGATGTTGCTGATGATGAAGATGATGAAGATGTTGATGATGCTGATTATGCTGACGAAGATGCTGATGCTGATGAAGCTGCTGCTGATGATGATGCTGATGAAGATGCTGCTGATGCTGATTCTGATGATGAAGATGCTGCTGATGATGATGATGAAGATGCTGATGCTGATGTTGCTGATGATGAAGATGATGAAGATGTTGATGATGCTGATTATGCTGACGAAGATGCTGATGCTGATGAAGCTGCTGCTGCTGCTGCTGCTGATGAAGATGCTGCTGATGCTGATTCTGCTGATGAAGATGCTGCTGAAGATGCTGATGCTGATGATGCTGCTGATGATGATGATGCTGATGAAGACGCTGATGCTGATGATGAAAATGATGAAGATGCTGATGCTGATGATGCCGATGATGCCGATGCTGATGCTGATGCTGATGTTGATGCTGATGATGATGATGAAGATGCTGATGAAGATGCTAATGCAGATGATGATGATGCTGATGAAGATGCTGATGATGCTGATGATGAAGATGATGATGATGATGATGCTGATGCTGATGCTGATGCTGATGCTGATGAAGATGAAGATGAAGATGCTGATGCTGATGATGAAGATGAAGATGATGCGGATACTGATGATGAAGATGAAGATGCTGATGCTGATGATGAAGATGCTGGTCTGTACCTGTCTGACGGGCTCTGGCTGGGATCTCTTGCCTCCTCGAGGGCAGTTCTGGATGTAGCAGGCGGACGAGAGTGCAGAGAGCGCCAGCAGACTGAGGACACACGCAGGCAGCAGAGAGTCGGACATCTCGACACACACTGATGCTCTGATGCTCTCAGAAGCTTATATAGAGCTGCAGCATCAGCACCAGCGGAGCTCCTCCTCATCAAACAGCTCACATCCACCACTGCTTCAGACGCCGTTATCGTTCTAGCAATACTTTGAGTTGGTTTTTGTTTTTATCTTTCATTTGATGATGCCAACTCTGAAATAACATAAACTACCAAATTTTGCTACAAGTTTGATTGCAACATATAATCATTGCTGTTAATAGTGTTAATGATTACGTCATTAACTGAATTTTACCGTACATTTCTGCCATATGTACATCAATTTGACATAATCACCACTGATAAGCTACCACTAAATATATTGTAGAAATGTAATTTTCTGTAAAGCTGCTTTGCAACGATTGTATCGTGAAAAGCGCTATACAAATAAAGGCAAGGCAAGGCAAGTTTATTTATATAGCACATTTCATACACAATGGTAATCAAAGTGCTTTACATAAAAGAAAAGAAAAAAATTATCACAACAATAAAACAAGGAATTTAAAAACTTTGAAAATGATTAATAAAATGATTTAAGAGGTTTAAAATTAATTTAAAACGGTTAAAAATAGAAAAACGATTATACTGTACATAAAATATAGTGCAATCAGTTCGGACGTTGCACAGTGCTCATTCAATAAATGCACAGCTAAACAGTAATGCAAATAATGTTTTTTTTTTGTATTTCCCATTTTCATTTTAATTTGAGTTAAAGTTACAGTAATTTTGTTGTGTGTTGTGTAAAATAAATGAAAAATATTTTTAAGTTTTATTTTATTTCAGGTAATGAAAACACGTTTTAGTGTTCTAATTATATATAAATATAATTTTTTTAATAATTTGAAAACACGTTTTTGTCATTTTTATTAATATTTTTTTATATGTCTGTATAGTTTTAGTTAAATTTAGTACATCGTTAAACTAAATAAAAATAAGACATGTACAATAACTTTTTTAAGTTTTAATAATGTTTTTTAAATTTAATTTCAGTTAATGTTTATTTTATTTCAAGTAACATTTTTTATGGTTTTAGGTTTACTTTGAGTTAATTATAATAATAACAATCCTGTTCAGAACATCGTTTCTGCTTGAGAACTTATGAAGAGTGACGTTTAATGAAAATTCAGTTCATCTGACAAACTAATAAATCAGACAGAATAACACCTTTAAGAACATGTTTCAGCAACATCAACCTTCTGATGCTTGAATTATTAAATCATAAAGAAAGTCTTAAAAGTTTATTATTACCTTAAAACTAGACTATAATGACTCTCAGTCTTTTAGTTCCAAGTGAATATAAAATATAAATTTATTTTATATAAACTGAAGTGTTTACATTTTATATGAATATATGATATGTCTCGGGACTGAAGGGGTTAATGTGTAATATAAGTGAGCAGAAG